ATGTGTCTGTGTGTGTTCAATTTGTTTGAGCAATGCAAATTAAGTACACATTATGACAAAAATGTGGGTATTTTTGCTTTTGTGTGTGATCGCGTTGTATCAACAGTGTAACTTTGGCTTCTCTATGGTCAGCTTCAGGAGGCTACTCATACTTGCTGGAGCCCTGGTGGTGGGCTGGCATGATAACCAGTAAGTCACGGTGATTCCCTAGCTTGTATTTAAACCACCCATGCTTTATATTACTCATGTTGGTCACTTGATCTGAATACTTAATATTGGCTGTGAGATTGGACTATTATGCCTTCCATTGGTTTGGTTTTTGTGTTACAAAAGATAGTTGAATGTGCCATCCTGTATTGTGCGCTTCTTACTCTAAAAAGTCTAGTTCATGGGGTGTTTACCCTTCTTTTGTTCGCTCTTCTGTTTTCATTTTCTTTTATCTTTTCCATTTGATTTCGGTACTTCTTAGCTATGCCCGAAACCATTGAAGACTTGATGGGCATTTTATGTTTGTATATTTTAGTCTTTCATTGTTATGTTTTAGTTTTATTGTTTGAGATAAGACTTGAACCATTGGCCCCAACCAGCACTCAAATGTCATGCCAACACTCTATCCACTGCACTACTATTGTTTGGCGAATGGCATTCTATTTTCTGAAAGGTGCTTTAGTGATGCTCTTCTTGTTGTTTATGATCTTCACTGATTTCTCTCAGGTAGTTGACACGTTGTTTGATGAGTTCTATTGCTCCTGATAACTAATTAAACACTGAAGTAACAACTGAATTACTTGTAATTAACAATTGCTATGGATAGGCACAAAAGTAACACCAATAGTTCACGATGAAGACAAGTTGTAGATGTTACAAGAATGCACCATCCAACAGGCATCATGGCAACAAAGTATATTGTCAGAATATACACAATTTGGTGCCTTAGAATATCTGATTTTACCTCTGATGCAAGAAGTACCTAAAGAAACACACACTGTTTGACATAAATCAGAAAAGAAAAGAGTATGCCCATTAAGATAACCATTGGAACTGTATGTAGTTGCCCCATTATTACTTGGTTAGATTCTTTAAACTATATTACTGACAACGGAAAAAATTTAATCAAAATAAAATTTGTCACTTCCAAGTAGTATAATCAAGCACGAAATACAAAATCATCTATTTCTATAGAGGCCATGTGTTTATTATGTAGGTGTTCAATAAAGGAAGTCCTCAGATTCTAGAGGATATGTGTGTATACCAGAAGGCTCCCATGATCTGGAAGGATATTTGTTAATTCAGACCTCTATTTGGTACCTCTCAATCCTTAATGTGTTGACAGTTGACACTTCTGTCATGTGGACACACTTTCAGTATCGCATTTGACTATAATGGTAAGGACAATCATTGATGGGTGAACAAAGTTAACCCATTTCTTGAAAAAAAATGAGCCAGTAAGACGTAATGAGGGTAAATCAGATTGGACGTGTTGATGTAAAATGGCCTGGTGTTATCATACCAAAATTTACTATAAGTATTAGAATTGTGCTATGGCAGTGTTCTGCAGTATGGTCGATGCTTAATTAAGACAAATTATTGAAGCGTAGTATCTTCAAACTAAGGACCTGGATGAGCATGAGTGTTGGTATTCATTTTTGTAGGATTTGTTAGTCTAGTAATTGTTTACAAGAGCAGTTATAATAATACCGACACTTTTACTAGAGACTTGTGATCTTTACGAGGTATGTTCATTTTAGTCAATAGGGTAGGAGGTTTTAAATAAGACTTAATTATGTAGGGAGAATCCTAAAGGTTTTGATTGTGGGGGATTTTCTTGTTTAAGAAATTTTTAGAAAAAAGTAGTTACTCAGTCACTTTAGACAATGAAGCTCTCTCTCTCTCTCTCTCTCTCTCTCTTTATATATATATATATATATATATATATATACATATACATATGTATATATATATATATTCAATAAGGATCGACTACTATACTATATGTTTTTATTTAAGATTAATAGGAAATTTTGTTTCATGATCGAGAATGAAATAAAAAAGTGAAATGCCTTTTAACTATAAGAATCTCAGCCTCACCACTTTGGAGTACCCATTGTTCCCTGGTTCTGGTTTCTAATTTTTTGAGTTCTTGCCTTTTTTTTCTCATCACTTGACTTATATCACTTTGATATTAGGTCTTCAAATAAATTCTGGTATTATTTAAGTGAGGTGATTTTCCTTTTCGAAATTGTTTTACTGGCATGTTATTCTTCTTCCTCTAAGAAGGCTGTTGTGTTGGAGTTCTATAGCCACCCCTATCGTCATTTCAGAATAACCATTGAAATAGGCATTGTGCATAGCTCCCTATCTCCCCTATATTGATGAAAGATATTCATAGAAGAAAGAAAAAGAGGGACTAATTGAAGGTTTCCTTACATTCTTTCTTTCAATGTAGTGTATCTAGAACTTAACGGGCTTCTAGATTTGAAAAACTGTCTTTTTATATCTTCTTTTTTAATCACCAACTTTTGAGACTTGATGTGTGCATTTTTCCTCTTTTTTTTTTCTTACCAAAGAAAATAACTGAGTTCAGGTAAATTAATTAGTAAATGGGAGAAGGCCCCTTAACCAGCAAATATGAAGAAGCCACACTCGTTTAGCATTGAAACTTTTTTGCTTTTTTTTTTTGCTTTTTTTTTTTGGTCTGAAATAGTCAGTTGTTTTCCTTTATAAGGTTTTTTCAGTATCTTGTAACTACTTATTTGAATCATTTCCTTGTAAATAATAATCACATCCTTTTCATATTTGAACCACTTTTTTAGATTGGTTATTGTTTTCCTTTGTTATGGTTTTGTGTCCAATATTTAAAGTAATAGGATGAAGTTCCACAATATCTCATATGCTCCCTTGGGTGCAAAAGTAATAGGATGGAAGAAGAAAAGGAAACAGATAAATTATCTTCAAAAAAAATTGGTACCAATACTCTTATTTACTGTTGACACGAAGTTCCACAATTTTTTGTCATTCACTTTTCGTCAGGGTGATTGCTGAACTTCATAATTGTACAGAGTAATATTGCATATTTTTTGTGTAATCATAAGTTTCTCAACAAGGAAGTCTCCGTGAAGGTTTCGATGGTTTGACATCTTACTTTTTCCATAAATTTACCTTAATACCATTGACCATTGGTTTTATCAACAAGAAAAAGTGAAAAACATAAAATAACTATTGTTTAATAATATATTTGAAGCTACTAAATTAAATATACATAGTTAGAAAAACACTTCATGTGTAAGTCAATAAATTGCAGGAATATAATGCCATCTTGACACAATATGGCATTTCCATGGCGATTACGTGTATTATTTTACATATACGTCTGATGGCAGATTCAATGCAACACATCCGTTCCTCTCCAAGGTGAGAAAAAGGGAATGAGCCATACAATCCTAAAATTAATTGAGCCTTTGTGTACCCAGGAAATAGCAGATGGACTTTTTGAGGCTTGTGTTTAAAAATCAACAAAGGAGATTTAAAACACATTTCTGAGCATTTGGGCCATGAGAAAGCAATTGCTAGGAATAGGAGTCTTTGTGGGTGAACATTATGATCTTAAGAAGCCTAAAGAAGGATTTTTTAGCTTTTCTGAGGATTGAGCTCATGTTATTCACTCTAGAGGTTTCAAGGGCAGGGAATTGATTGGCCTGTAAATTGAATCATGCACTTTTCTGTAATTGAAAAATATGCAGTTTTTCACGTCTCTGTGGTAGAGATTCAAACAGGAATTTCTTAATTATAATGCATTGTGTGCAATTATTTGAAAATAAGTAAGCCTTAAACAAGTGTACTTGTCTGACAAAAAAGAATCTAAGTTCTCATTGATTATATAGGTTGCTTAGAGTAAAACACTTAATGGTCCAAAATATTACCAAAAGTTCAATTTTTGAATGTTTAAGTTCAAAAGATTCATATTCTGGTTTTTTGATAAACTAGGAGGATTCTTGCCACTTACGAAAGTTATTACTCAGTCATTCTCAAACATGAGAATATCTGCTCAGACTTGGCTGGATTCATACATGCAATATCCTTTTTTCGCCAAATGATGGTGGGTTTGGTAACCAGGAAAAGCATTTCTGCAGGAAAAGTTTACAATATGTGGAAGCTTTGTCATTCTCTTTGATACAATTGCTCTTGCAAACAGAACAATACAAAAATGAAAATTACAAAATGATCTGTCTGCCGGATGATGTTATTGATTAGTGTTGTGAAAATAAAGAGCAAATCTTCTGAGATTCACATTCACCAACATCCAAGATGATGGATAAACAAAATATAAGTAAAAAGCGTGAAACCCTTCAAGCATTGGATACAAGTTCTGAAGATGGTTTATATTTGTTCATTTTGAACTCTTAACGACAGGTTCTGACCACAAAAAAAAAAAACCTCTTGACAACAGGGGAATGTATCGATGGAGAAGAACAGGAGAATCTATAGAAAAAAACACTGACATCCATAAATGAGTTAAATTCATATGAAAAAAAGGATCACATGGGATTGGAAATTGTCATGCTTTTATTGGGTGCTATCATTCCTATCCTTAAGTTTTATCATGACGCACCAGAATAAATTACATAGTCATCTGTATGACTAAGCTGGTGCCTACCCAACAGCTTCATTGAGAAATCTTTTATTGTATTTGTAAAGCAGCCTCACTAGATTATCAAGGATAAGATCAAGATTGGCTAGTTAAAACATTTGAGCATTGAAGCCAACTCAAGCTCGTCTCATTTGACAGCAAGTGCTAGAGCGAGCCCCAAAACGACTCAAGCAGCAGCTCATTTAGTTTTCTTGGCCTAATAGGTCACAGCTTTGGTGGTGATTCCAAAAGCACATAGCTAACTTTTGGCCATCCACTCTCTCTGAAAGGCTGGATTATATGTCCTAATCCTGAAGAAATGCCTTACATTATTAAACATTTTAATTGGAAAATAGCTTATAAGAACACTTATATGATAAGTCGAACAGAATATGTGGCAAACTTAGGAGGTTCAACAGGTAAACGATATTTCATATTTTTTGTTAGGCACCCTTTGCAAAATTGAGAAAGTGTAACATAATATATCTTAATTGGGACAAAAAGTATGGATTGCAACATTTCTGTGCCCAACTTAAAAGAGTCTTGGAAAGCTCTTCTGCATTAGGCTGTTTGGTTAATTTAGCCAATGGATTGGGATATCATATCCATATTAAAACAAAAAGTGTATAGGTTCTTTTCAGGCATGAATTGTTAAATGAAGGTTGTGTGTGCAGTGAACTGTTCTTTGTGTTCCTGTTGATAAGTTTTTATGTCTTTCGCATAGCCAAAACATTTTCCAAATTTTTGTTGGCTTATACTCTGAATTTCTGCGACTTTGTAGTGATTGTCGGGGAGATAGCTAATTTTGCTGCCTATGCATATGCTCCTGCGATTCTGGTGACTCCCCTGGGAGCTTTAAGTATTATTTTCAGGTATGGCACAGGATGACATCATGTGAAAATATTTCTCCAAAACCTTACCTGTATCTGTTAGACGTCCATTGAATACTTTCCTAAACTTTTTGTGCAGTGCAGTGTTAGCCCACTTTATTTTGGAAGAGAAACTGCATATCTTTGGTGTGGTTGGTTGTGTTCTTTGCTTAGTGGGATCTACCACTATTGTTTTGCATGCCCCACAAGAGAAAGTAATTAATTCTGTCAAGGACGTTTGGTACCTAGCAACAGAGCCAGGTATTTAAGGAGGCATACTGCAGTTGCCTGATTTCATTATCATTTCTTCAGAGATCTACTTTTTAGATACTTGGTTTCAGCAAGCACATTTGAAGCTTCTTGAGCTGTATTGCATTAATTAGATCAAATTGAAAAGGTCTATCTGAATTTTATAAAAGAACTCGCAGTAGGACCATGCAGGTGCCATGAACAACATAGAAGTTCTGAAATGTAGTGCATCAACTTTTCGAGTTGATAAACGATTTTTTATACAAAATCACCTGGAAATTGTATAATTTTAGACAGAACTACCATTAGAGTCTTTCAAATGTTTGTCAGATACCTACAGTACAAAGTCAGGTTATTATAGGACATTGGAGTATGGCTGTCCCAATGTTTATCCTTGCTTTGTAATATTTTGTATTCATGAATGTGTTTCTTTGCTAAATTATCTTTTCATTTAAAGTTATGCAGTCTGGTTACCTCAAATTGACTAAGGAATTTTTTGTACAACAGGTTTCATTATCTACACTTGCATAATTTTGGTTCTGGTTGTCATCCTCATTTTCTGGTGTGTGCCACATTATGGGCAAAGCCATATGGTCGTATACATTGGAATTTGCTCTCTTACTGGCTCTCTTACGGTTTGTATAGATTTACACTTTTACACATCTATACCGTAGATATGCACCCAGTGGGTCTTATATGCTGGCTTCTCTTGTATGTAGGTTATGAGTGTTAAAGCTGTTGGAATAGCTTTGAAGCTGTCATTTTCAGGGTCTAATCAATTCATCTACTTTCAGACATGGTTTTTCACTGTCTTTGTGATCGTTTGCTGTCTTTTGCAGCTGAACTATTTGAACAAGGTGCTTGTGAAATCACTTTGAAAGAACAATTTGTTGCGAAGCAGGATATTGCCTCTCAAACAAAATTGAGAAAAATTTGATTACTGTAAATGATAGTTGCAAGCTCTTGACATTGTTCTTTACTTTTTTGCATTGTTTCACTGGTGAGAGATAGAGAGAGAGAGAGAGATGCCTTTCTCAAAAGTGCCACCACATGGCAGAATGAGGATAAGAGCGTTTAGGAGAACCATCTATGTTGTTCATTTTAAATAACGCAACTTTAAAGAGGCACACACACACAGATGCCTTTTTCAGAAATCTGTACCCATGGCTGAATCAGGAAAATAGGGTTTTAGGAGAATCATCTATTGTTTCACAACATAGAATCTGCAGTGGGATGCAAGTAAATGTTCAGTAGATCAGGACAAGGGGCATGATTCAAAATATCATTTGATACCGATATGAGTCAGCATCTTTCGATCCAATCCCGTTCCATTCTGTGTAAACCACGAGTTTCACACGATTTAGCCAAATTGTCAGAAGCGCCTCTGAATTGTCTGAATCTGACGAACTTTTTTGGAATGCAAGGATTTCAGCTTTTTGCCTTCTATATATTCAGGATGTTATTACTTGCTGCTTATTTTAGTTTATATACCTTTTGTCGGTACTGTCTTTATTTCTATACTGATGATGGTTAATCTTTATTTTTAATTATCTTTGCAGGCATTGGACACCTTTAAGACTGCTGTTATTTCTCCAGTGTACTATGTCATGTTTACAACCTTCACCATCTTAGCTAGCATGATCATGTTTAAGGTGATTAAATATGTATCTTAACTGTTTACTTTCAATGGTGATACTTTTCACTACACCAGTGCTAAGATCTGTTCTATTTACATGTGTTCAGAAATTTTGCTTTTTGATGATACCGAAATAATAATTTCCAGTAAGTCATGGGCCTAATAGCATTGGAACTCACACCATCAATACGAGTTTAGTAATTTCATATCCTTTTTAAGGTTAATCATAATTTTTACAACAACTATTCCATGCATAAATTGGTGGGTTACAAAATCTTTATCCTTCAGATCCTTTTGTCAACATAAACAAAGGTTCTGGCCAGGTGAATCAATGACCCAAAACATGCCAGTAACTAGGACTATAAACAGGTCAGGCTTTGCTTGCGAATGAATTACACTAGTTTGTTTGCACTAGAAAGACAAATTTTGCATTCTTATACTTCTTGTTGTGTCATTCATGTTTCTGAGGTGGATACAACTATATGAGTGAGCACTTATGTGGAGCTTCTAGATTAGTTGCACCGCAAATTGTGAATTCATCTATGATGACTATTGTCTTCATGTTTCTTAGGTTTGGAGTGAATTGACTACATTTATAGACCTTCTACCCTTGTTAACAACAAATAATTGTCTTTGAAGCTAACCGAGTATGCTGCAATAGAAATTGGCTCAAGATTATTGGGTTTACATTGTCCCAATTGCTGATGTCTGTTACAAATTGGATGGGAAATTGTGTTACTTTGCCCCTGGAATATGGGAATTAGTTCCCCTTTGCCCCCAAAATCTAATGGCACATGGTGATGTAGGACAGCAGCAGAAAATCAAAATAGGGACTGTTTAGGAGCTGTGAACAGTATGGTACTGTTCACAGTAACTTGAATCGTAACTTTGACTAGGAATCACTCCTAGAGTTTCTTAGCCATCACACAACTCAAGAAGCATATAATTGCTGAAATTTATTTCTCTATATTTTATTAAAAGTAACACTAACTATATATAAAGTTCTAAATGCTCTTAATCCCAAAAGATTAGAATTTCAAAGTTTCTAGGACTCCAAAAACTCTAGGTCCCTAAAAATTAGAAAACTAAAATTAACTAGAACTAGGACTTTAAATTTTAGAATATTCAACACTAGAATTTGACACAAAAATATGACCCATTTTAGAAATTCTAGAAATTACAAAAATATCCTTAACTCTAAAAATTATTAAAAAGACATATAAAATAATAATACTAACAAATTGACTCAAAATACAATAATACAAGACTTCATATGGATCTTTGTCTTGATGACAAGCCAATTCCATTATTTTTCACATCTTTGAATTTATGTTTTCTTGAGCATCTCATGGATTGCATCACATGGGTATTTTCCATGCAAGACACAATTGATGTTAGATTTTACAGCTACGTGAAACCAATTTAAGTAGATGAGAGGGCAAAGGAGAAACTCAAAAGTAGAGGGGTAAAGTGGGATCAAGGCTATAAGAGTGTAAAGTATAATTTGCCTTGGTTGTTTTAGATTTTACCCAGGAATTTTCTCACTGTATTAGTCAGTGAGGTCTTGAAGTCACTACCAGATTCGTTCACATTAATTGACAATGCTGAGGGGGATAAGTCAAACATTTGGCATTGTCCTTGCACTGTGGCTGTCCACAGATTCATGACTCCTTTTTGAAGAAACAAACATTCTACAGTCAAGCTACAGCTTGTTCTGTTCCAATTTTATTCAGAGAATTTTTAATAAGAGTTTTGTTCCTTTTATAAGAAGGTCTCTGACATTGGATTTCACAGATTGGACTTCTAAAAAATCATAAATTTTACAGCCAAGTTGCAGCTTGTTGCTGCACCAAGTTTATTCATGGATTTTTTAGCAAGAACTTCTTTTTTCCATTTGTAAAAAGAAGTGATCCGAAATTGGATTTCACCATTTTTATTGCTTAGTGTACCCTATAAGTTCTTGATAGAATCATATGCTTGTATGTGGTCTTGTATCGGTGTCCACATAGTTCCTTGAGGACAAATGAGTTTGATTATTAGTCTCTTCGTTATTTCCTTTTTTTTTTCTTTACTGTTTTCATGTTTGAATCCTATCTCTACTTTTGAAATTTCATAGCTCTTTGCCTCAAATACAGGATTGGGACCACCAAAATGCATCCCAGATTGTAACTGAACTGTGTGGCTTTGTGACTATCCTCTCTGGGACTTTTATTCTACACAAAACCAGAGATATGGGTGACAGTCCAACGTCGGGAGTCCCTGTCTTTTCACCTCAAAACATTAACATAGCCTTGACTTCCAGACAGTCAGAGATTTGAAATATGCTGGCATTGTTTCTAGTCATTCAGTCACATTGCAAATGAAAGATGCTTTGAAAATCCGGAGAGGGGCATCATCATAGGAGCAGAACATATCTGTATTCTTGATTAAGCAAGAATGTAAGTTGGAAAGCTGGAAGGAAATGAGAAGAAAACCATCTCATCGGTGCTCATGAGATATAAAGATGTGCTCTGATACTACAAAAAAATTTCATACTAACCAGTAGATTAAGCATCTTCACAAGTTCTCTTTTTTTTTTCTCTTTTTCTATGAGTATTATGCAATTTGTAGGATATTTGAGACAGATTTAGAAGGTGAATATGTCGTATACACATGAATGCTATGGGGTGCTTGTTGAAAAAAAAAAAATATATGGTTGCCGATGAAGGCAAGAAAGTAGATTCATCTCTCTCTCTCTCTCTCTCTCTCTCTCTCTCTCTCTCTCCACACGATTTGTATAGTATCTAATTAGAATACAGTTCATATATGGCACGAAAAATCAAACATGATCATGTAACAGGTTTAATTTACAAATCGTGTTCATTTCATGAGTGCACCCCTTCAATCAATAAAAACCGTCATAGGTCCACCACAATATAAATTTAGAAAGATTATAGAAGTAAGTTTGATAGGGAATCTCTTCCCTTTTTTTTTTTTAAATTTCTCGATTACTTCACAAATCATGATCGGGGGACCCCACTTAAAAAAAGTGGACTATATATATATATATAAATTAATGGTGATAGTTGAAGATAATTCTTTATGCATTAAATTTGTACAGCAAAATTTGCACCAAATCAAATGTAGTCGTTGGATTAGTGATAGGACCCATTGATCCAACGACAATAAGTGATTTGGTGCAAATTTTGGTATACATTTTTGGTGTACATAGCATTGTCGGATAATTTATCTTTGGTTGGAAGAAATTAGGATAAATTACATTTTAACCCTCTTAACTATGATATTTTTCTTATATTGTCCCCTAAATTATCATATTTATCATATTATTATTAATTTCATATTGTCAAAATGATTAACGTTCATTGTAAATATGACTATGATATTTTTCTCTTCTTTTTTCTCTCTTTCGCTATAAGTATTGTGCAATTTGTAGGATAATTGAAACAAATTTAGAAGGTGAATATACAGAGTACACATGAATGCTATGCAAGGGCGGAGCCACGCTTGGACTAGGGTGGACACATACCACCCCCCCCCCCCAATTTTTTTTTGCTTTATATTAGTTATGTATTTTTGAAATAAAATTTAGACATATTTAATTGTGTTCACCCTAATATTATATTTAATATTAATTTGAATAGTCCCTTACCTAAATGATTATTAACTTTTTGGACAATATTATTAAAACCTAATTTAAGGACCTAATACATTACAATATTAAGTATAATAGTAAGTCTTAATATTTAATAAATTTTACTATCTATCCAATGGCCACAAATCATTGGATCTCCATCAATTAAATTATAAATTATATGCAACTAATATTATTGTTAACTTTTAGATATGTTTCAGACATATCCGAATATGTTTTGAACATATTGATGTTATTTTATAATTTTCTAAAATTATAGGGTTATTTCATTATTGTATAAAAATGTATCTCTTTATGTAGTAAATTATAAGATCATAAATAATGTTACCGCGATTTTATATATAAAAAAAATATTGTTGATAAAATTAATTTGTAATTTTTTCAAATAATAAAATCATATCAGGGTCAATTGTAAGGTATAATAATTAGGCGCATTCTCGATAAAAAATTTTAATTATTATTTTTTTGTTCTTATTATGTATATTGAGTTTTATTCTTTTATGTTTAAAAAGTATTAAATATATGTCAATAAATATAAATTTATGAACTTTTATAGTCTATTTAAAAAAAAAATTAAAACACGCTAAACTTTTTTCCTCGCTCAGCCCACGATGCTATGGATTGTTTGTTGAAAAAAAAAATATATGGTTACTTACCGATGAAGGCAAAAGGGTAAATTCATTCTCTCTCTCACTCACACACACACACACACACACACACAACACACTCACACTTGGTGTACAACCAATAGAATGATCCAACATTCTTCTTTCCTCTTTTTTTTTTTTTCTCTCTTTTTTCAGAATGATCCTCCATCTCTTTCTTTTAGTGAATTCTGCAGCAAATTTGGGCTGCACAGCATATTCTGGATTCTTCTTTTGGTTGAAAGCACAGAACTTAGCCTTTTCAAAATGTTGGAGTCACATCGCCAATTTGGATGCAAAATTTTGAGCCTTAGTTCTATGTATAATAGCTTGTCGTCGGACTCTGATCGTGTCTCGAACACCCCTCGAAATTAAACTTAACTAGGTTAGTATAGCAGCTAATCACCAAATCATAATGGAGACTTCAGCACTCAAACTCTCAACCTCTAGGTGAAGAGTAAGATGGATACCAACACTAAACTACCCTATTCGTTAGGTTATATATTATTTACATTTTTAGAGATTTTGTTGATAAACGGAAACCTCGTGCACTACAACGTTGCGTAGAATCAAATTAGAATACAAATTAGAATACATTGCACCCCTTCAATCAATGAAAATGGCCATAGGTCCACCATGGTATAAGAAAATTATAATATATTACACTTTAACTCTCTTAATTATGACATTTTTTCTCATATTGTCCCTTAAATTATCATATTTCTCATATTGTCCCTTAATTATCATATTTCTCATATTGTTTCCTCAATTATGTTGTTAATTTTACATTGTCAAATAATTAACTTTCGCTGCAAATTCGATGAAAATTTATTTTAGTTTATTCCCTAAACATTTGCTCAAACTGTTACAAGTTCTCTAATTCAATGTACATCCCAAGCTTCGTAAGACAATTCTTCACGTTAACGACTTTCGTCCAAAGTTAATGAACGTTTGCATTTGGGGGAATGAAAAATCAATTCAAGTAATTGAGGGGATACTATGAAAAAATCTAATAGTTCAATAGACAAAATAAAATTAAACGGGGTGGAAATGTAATTTACCCAAAAAAAATATCTGAGGAGTTTTTCTGCTTGCCGCATAAAAACTCACAACATAACCGCTGCAAACCAGCAATTTCCCACCTTTGCCCCAAAACAATCTCCGAAATCCCTTGCCAAGTCCCCAACAAGTCCACTTTCTCAACCCAATTTCCCTCATTTTGTATGTCACCTTCCCGAGAAAATTCTCTCTCTCCAGAGCACCCAATCACTCCCATGACCCTTTCCCCTCTAATCTTACCCTCCAAACCCTGACCACCCATCAAAGACTTCTCTTCAAATCTCTCCCACAAGGTGAGTACTCACTAGTTCTCTTGTCTTGTACATAAATATTTCCTTTTCTTGAATTGGGTTCTCTTGAATATATATGTTAGTTTGTTATGTATGCGATCGGTTGTTATTGAATTAGAGACAGTAGTCGTAGGATTGATGATGCTTCCTCCAAGAAGGAAGAAGTGGACAGAGGCTGAAGAAAGAACCCTAATAGACAAGTATGGTGCAATGATTTGTGATGGAACTTTATCTAAAATGAGAACTAGAGAGAAAAAGTATAAGCCAATTGCCTTATATGTTAATTCTATGCATCATGTTCGCGACCCAATTTCGTATCCATGGCAATGGACTTGGAAGGATGTATCAACTAAAGTACAGAACATGAGGCATCAGTATGCATTGGTGAAGCAGAAGATTAAAAAACCCGAATCAGTGGGTGATTCAGGGGGGGAGGAGTTCGATTGGATGGAGGGGCTTACGCATTGGTCAAACTTTCTTAGGTATAAGGAGGTGTTTGGGGATGTGGCACTTGCATTTAGTGGTAATGATTCGATAGCTGTTGGTGGTAATGATGAAAATGGTGGCGGGTTTGATGGAAGCAGTCATGGCATAGAGATTGTGCAATTTGGGCATCTGGGTCAAGTTGGGGAGGGTGATTTTGCCAATGGGATTGATGGAGTAGATAATGGGATTGTGGGTTTAGAGTTTGACTATGATGGGGAGGAAGGAGAGGAGGATTACAATGCTGGTAATAAGAATAGTAATCTCATGAAGGATGATGGAGATGATGGATTTGTTTATGAAGACATTGAGCCAACTGGGTCTAATGCAAAGAAGAAGAGGAAAGTGTTGAAGGGATTGGGGAAAAGGGCTTGGGGTTTTCTTGCAAATCAGTTGAGGCACTTGAGGGAAATGGAAACTCGGTTTGAGCAGCGTGAGGCAGAGAGAGAGCGAGAGAGGCAGAGGAGAGACGAATTTCGGATGGAAATGGAGCAGGAACGTGAACGGAAATTGGAAGAGAGGGAAAAAGAGAGGGAAGAGAGGGAGAAAGATAGGGAGAAATTGAGGAGGCAGTGGATTCTAGAATTGGAAGCTATGGAGGAGGAGGCCGAAGAGAGAGAACGAAGCAAAAGAGAGAAAACGTTGATTTCTGAGAGGGAATGGGATGAGAGGATGAACCGGAGGAGATCAGAGTGGAAGAAGAGAATTGACGAGATGTTGAGTCAGCACCGAACAGAAATGAGCCAGTTGCAGACTCGGATTCTTCACGAACAACAGAACCTTACTAATCAGTTGGTTGGAATTGTTTCCCAGTGGACTGGTCATCCAACTGGGATTTCTGATCACACTGGAGCAAGCAGTCATTATATTTCACAGATGATTCAGAACTTGCACCATGTGAACGATATTGTTCATGATGATTCCAGAGTTGTCGGGGATCATCAAGAAGATCAATTCATTGTCGATGGATGATATTGGTTCCGCTCTACTAATTTCTTTAGAGGGAGAAATTTAAAGGGGCATGCAAAATCACATGATTCGGAAGAAGTGTAAAGGTTAGAGATGTTTTTTCGTTCTTTATTTGTGGTCTTATTTTTTACTGGTTGGTTATTGTCAGTTTTAGTTCAATAAGAGGTGTGGATTGTCCTTCCTCAATTTTAATGGAACTGTTGTTGAGTTGTTTCTAGATTGCCCTGTCTTTGAAGAATTATAACACCACACAGAATGTGTCTTTTCTCTTTTTCCTGTTATTTTATGCCAAATGAGAAACAGAAACAAAAAACTCATCAAGTAAACAGACTAAATTAAAATTAAGTGAAAAATAAAGGTTTCAGCCCTTCAGGAATTTAGCTGTTTTCAGGTAAAGCATTTCGATGGTCATTCATAATCTGCATAGGTAGATAAGAAGGAAACTCCCCATAATACACTATCAACAGTACAAGTGACAATGGACACCTGCTGCTGTGACTGCCTTCAACACTGTAATAAGTGCGGCTTTGGCTTGTGGGATACTTTGTAACTTTTTTTCCAGCTCGTGAGTACCTGCTGTAATTGAAATTCGAGTAATGTGTAACTGACAAGTTTAGCAAGAACATTTGCAACTTAATTTCTGAAACTTTCCGGAACCATCTCTCTTTTCTTTTGGTTTTCATACCTGCGTGGGAGTTCGATTCATCTTTTAGTACTATGATAATGTGCTATAGTAACTGAATTCTTAGGTATTTTAAGACATAATGTTGTTTGCTTCACTTTGTCATAGGTTCAAGTCATGTAAACAGTCTCCTTACACTCGGGATAAAGTTATGTGCTCCTTATATCTGCAGTAGTAAGTGTCTTGTGCATTGGACTGTTTTTTTATACTTGTCTACTCAGAAACAGGAACATTCTTTATTTACAAGGTAATTTGCCATAGTTGTTCCAAATCTGCCTATGCACTTCCTCTCAATCTACTGTGTTTGTATCTCAGCATCTGTCTCTTAATACAGGTAAAGAGCAGTTGACTTGGCGAAAAACATATTTATATTAAGCTACCATCTAACTTCCCTTCTAAATGTAAGTCTTAATGTCCAAATGTTTTTGACACAATACACTAATAAATTAAATCACACATCGAGTTAGAGAGTTTGAATCGACACTAATGGTAATAGTATTTTAAACGGTGTGACATGCTTAATGTGAAAATATGAACATGTGTCATGTGAAGCATCTCTCTCTCTCTCTCTCTCTCTCTCTCTCTCTCTCTCTCTATATATATATATATATATATATATATAAAAGATGGAGAAGAGAGGTAGAAATACTAAGGGGGAGCAATTAGTTTTGTGTGAAGAAAATGGCAAAACCTAAAGGAAACAGGAAGTAGTGCTCATTTCCAGCCCCTGATGTGGAAAGAGTTGAATCCACAACAAAAAATTTGAGGTTGATCCTGTATCATCGCAGGTGGCTCGTTGCACATAGGTTAAGCTATTTTTTGTTATTATTTCTTCAATATAAAGTTTTATTTTTTTGAACTCCAACGAAAAACTCAAGTGGTAACCAGGACGAGTCGTAAATTCAAACGTTTTGAATTTGAATCTTAACAAGTCATGAAGAATTTATCCTTTATGAATACCTTAATTCAGGCGTAGATGGTCTGTCTTTGACCAAACTGAGGAAAAGATTAATCAAGGTGTACATAAACTAACTCGAACACTCCTGACCATTGAACTAAAAAAAAAAAAAAATTATTTCTTTGAAACCATGGTACCAAAAAAATAAATATATACCTTCATGTTTTGTTTTAAAATAAATTATACTTTGCACCCAAAAGAATTTTAAATTTTTCTCTTTATCGCGTGAAAGATTAAAAATATTGTATTGCATCTTGAATTTCGTTGACTGACTAGGAAAAAAGGATCAAAAACAGGACACTATTATATTAATATTGCATCATTTACTCCTTGTTTTGGTACCCTTTTTTAGTCGGTCTAACATTAATGGTGAATTATTGTTAATAGTTTGTCTTTGAAAAGACGAAATGAAAAGTTCAAATTATTTTAAAAGAATTACATTTTTACCCTGTAAAATTCAAGAATTCTCATTTTGTTTTGTCTGAAAATTTGAATAACACATGGATATTTCTGTCCATAACAAAACAAACACTTTAATTTTGAGACATTATAAAATTAATTTAAGTAATTAAAGATGCAATATGAGAAACTTGAAAATAAATGGGAAAAAATTTGATCGGAACCATATCTTACAAGGACAAAAAGTAATTTGCCCTAAGTGGAAAATATCAGCAATACTATGTATGGGCTTCTTCTATGTTGTTTCTAGTTCAATAATTGCTAACAATGTTCAAATGTTTTCACTGAAGGACCAAGTAGAAGCAGCCAAAAACCAGAAAGAAACAGGAAAGCACTACACAATGCGAAAGGAGAATTGAATCATATACACATGGAGAATTGAATTATTTGTACTATTTTGTCAGCCGCGTTATTTATAACATCTTTTTGGAAAACATCAACGTCCATCACACCTGGTCGAATCAGGTAGTACTTGGACAAATCTTGCATGATTTCATGGGAGACAAAAAATAAAAAAAAATCAACAGATAATGTTGTAAACATGTTATTAAATTCAAACTTAGATGATCATACAAAGAGTAAGGCATAAACTCACAAATATTAAGAGTAACTCCCCGACTCTATAAAAAATTGATTGATTTTAATGTAAACACGCAATATGTATTTGAGTACCTATATATGAAATTTGTGTTACAGTCCGTACGTGTTTAGGACAATTCTTCGTTACAAAATATACCTTCAGCTGCGTGGTGAATGTTGAAAAATTTATACTCAGCACCATGTGTTTAAAGTTTTTCTGATCTAAGCACCATGGCTTGGATTGGAATCACAAACAAACTGGTCTGCATATAAGAGTAAGAATATATACATTTAATCCTCCCCAAATACTACAATGATGGAAATCTAGTGCATTAGACCATTTTTTTTTGGCCCAGAGCTGAGTTGTCAATTGTCATCAACCAAATTAGTGTCACTAATCCATCAAAAAAAGAAATTCAAAAAGTAGAGGGAACATGATACCCTACCCCTAAAGTGATTCAAGTTAACCCAATCATCAGGCCCCTCTACTGCAAAAAATATATATATATATATATATATATATATATATATATATATATATATTGGCACACAGACAAACAGGATCTCATTATTGGGAGTACAAGTACAAAACTACATCAAATAGTGAAAATGAAAGGATGTCCTCACAAAATGATAATAGCAGTCATTTTTCAGTTGTCATCAGATTGGAGTTCCGCTCGCATTTGTCGAACAAGTATTTCTTCAATGGCATCCACAAAGCTTGAGAGATTCTGCTGTATGTGTCCATCCAAAGAGTTTGCCTCTTCCTGATGTTTCAGATTAACAGCCAAAGGAAAATATATTAATAATTGTCAACCAAATTTCTAATCATCCCTATTTTGGTGTTCTGAAACTAAGCGTGGGTGAAATAAAAATGAAACAAATGTGTGACAAAACAAGAAAAGAGAGAATTAAAAATGAGTATATTCATAAAATCGTACAAGTTAAGACCAATAGGAGATAAATTAAAAAGAAAATCACTTAAATGGCTATGGTAATTGAGAGTTGCATTGAGCAAATCTCGGTTTTCATAAATTTTGAAAACCCAAGTAGGAAGTACCAAATCAAGGATCCAGGAGGGAAATAAACACTTGTAGAATCTAAGTCGAACAATAGACCATACACAGTCCATTGAACCGTGCACAAAGATATTATTACCATGGATCAAGACTCAAGAGAGACTGTCAATGAGATTGATAGGACTCAAAATTCAACCAACATTTCAAGTAGATATTAATAGAATTCTCTCTTCTACTTTCACATTATTTGACCAACTCCTCAGTTCAATATGCAATCAAATTCAATGCATAACTTTAAAGACAATGGAATCATACTTTCAATAATTCCAAGGAGATGTCTAATATATTCATGCTCCTCAAACAAAATCTTTCATACAAAGGTCACATTATGTAGCATGTGACCTTCAAGCTACTGTGGCACACTATTGCCCACCTTGGAATAAAAGCTCTGAAGAGTACCCTTTCTTTGTGCCTGAGTCATAATACATGAGATTGCCAAACCGTGGGGACCTAATGATGATATGTTACATATAAGTTGTAACTTGTAACAACCTTTTATCATATTTTAGTCTGTAATTTAGGAATATTTCCCCTCAGATCGTTATGAACCACAACACAAGCCTCCAGCTGCAGTTTCCCATTTTGCATTATCAAATTTCTAAGATACAAATACCTTGGCATTTCTAAGATTGCTATTTTTACTTAAAGCCGATTGCCAGCTAGAAAGGTCTAATAAGGCCTAGGTACCCTAAAATACTTCCCTTTTAAAAGTATATTATACACTCTTGGAATTTCTATTGGTTGTCCTAAATAATAACAGTTATTTCTAGTTGACACCTGTTGTCAAATAGTAAGGTTTATAATTGGATCAAATTAATAACTATATGTCCACACAAACAAAATTAACCAATAATGAGGGGTGATGATGCCCTGTTTTTGAATTTTCCCTTTTGATCAGTATCAAGTTCAAAATCAAAGGTTTTTAAATTGTGTTCACACAAACAACCTAACTTATATTCACCAATAAGGCCCACAATCTGAAATGGCCGATCTGGACACATGTTCCAAGTCACACCTATACATGGAACTAAAACCATTTACAACAGTTAGGAGTGGATAGAGTAAAATCTGACCCAAACCCAACCCATTGACACCCCTAATCCTCGACTACGGCCCTAAACAAGAGTTCACATGTTTAACCCTTCCACTTAATTAGACTGTAATGACCCCTAGTTTCTTTTGCTGACAATACATTGTATCTTGCATTTGCATATGTTTAGTATACAATGCCAGAAACGACAAAAGGTGATACCAAGGTGAGATGAATAGTATACCTCTAGGAATAACAGAAAATGCCTTGAGACTGTAATACTACAGTTTTATCATTTCTTTATTTTTGTAAATAATCTTTGTTTATTTCTTATGAAGCATGGATACTTCGTTAAGGTCAAAATATTCGTATTGAATACAATACTCATTGAATACTCGATGATACGTATCGGATACAAACCAAACGTACCCAATAATAAATAAAATATATGAATACTTCATGGATACTTCTATATCCAGAGAAGTATGTACAATTTTTAATTTTAATCTTTACCCCTTCCTTTTAATTTCACATACAATGCAATACATCAACAAAAATCCATACGACTTTGAAGAAACACAAGTGTTTTCCAAGTGTTATACATTATCACATGTCCAAATAGTATAAATAAGTTGATTACTCTATAATCTTAGTAACAAATACTTCTAAGTAAATAATCTAGTTAAATGTTAATTCTTATTCCTTTAATTAATCAAGTTCACTTTGTAGATATACCATAGTGAGACGATAGGTAATTTGTTTAAAATAAAAACAGACTAATGTTGTTTATTATTGTCAAAAAATCACTAAAAATTATAACTTTTAAGTCATTACATAATAATAAAAATATAAAATATATATATTTATGGACGTATCCTACCTGTACCCGAATCCTATTTTTAAGAGTTTTGCCGTATCACCGTATCCATATTGTATCGTGCCCGTATCTTATATCCGTACTTCTTAGTTTGTTTCACTAAGTATACCATCACCTTGAGTTTTTATTAAATCTCACTTCATCCCCTTTGATTTCTACTAAAAACATTCCAATCTTCTCCCTATATCATATATGATAATGAAAGCAGATAGGTTTATTTGCCTGCTACTTGATATGATGATATCCATTATAGTAAATTTGCATTCCATAGCCAATGCATGACTCGTAAGCATATACAGACATCAACCTCATACAGTTGTGTATAACCCACAACTAGAGAGGCTCACAAAATCTCTAACGGCAACCATAATAAGATCACATGATATTAAGCCCTCTAATTTAAAGGATCTATCTTTACCCAAGATTAAAGAGTCCAAAATAACTCAATCCTCCTGAGTCTTCCAATTATATACATACATAAATACCTTAGATAGGCACAAAAATAATTGGGTTCTATGTTCTTGCAACTTGCAAGTGGCATGTGTGGAGATAGGGTTTGCATTCCAAAATCCAGCAGTTAAGATCAGAATCAGAATGATCACAGAGGGATTTGAGTGACTATCTTATATTAATAATAATTTTAACAAACAAATATATGTGACCTGCGCTATTATTTGCCTATTCCAGCAACCATGTGGGCAAATGACAATTAAATATAAGGCACCCTTTAAACTGGAATAACAATACTACCTATTTGAAAGCAAGAAGTAAACGAAGAACACAACTCACCTCAACCTTGCAAAGAAAACTTAAAGATATTTCTTTCGAATGACTTGAGTTCTTGAGAGACATTAACTTGAGTGCAGAATCTGATAAAGGCCAACCTTGAGACAACTTTATGAAAGCTTCAACTCCACCAGCCATATGAGCTACTATTATCTCATCTCTATCCAAGTACTCAAAGGAGTGCCTGTGATGGTTATAAGTGATTGTGCTCAAAAAACCCAAAAAGAAAGGGTATTCAAGTATAGTCTCCAGAAGATGGATAAGAGATTTGATAAGAGTATTTACAACAACTGATTGAGAAGTGGACAATGGTTCATTTTCCAACCTTGCACATGTGTTGGACCGATTATCTAAACCTATTCAAAATGGGTTTGGATTTCATACACATGTAAAAAAATTATAGTTTCCCATCAACTAGAGGTCAAGGAGAAATAGCATTAAGGCCGAGCCACCTCATACTTGTTTTAATTGTACAAAGTGGCCATTCTGAAAAGGAAAAGTGCAGAAAGTTAGAAACACTGCCCAACAAGTTTTGACACAACTTGAAATTGGGCAAAGGAATAATAAGGCTTTTAGTACTGTTTTGTGGCTTGTTTCATGGATGAAAACGGTTTCTAATAATGGCCTTCAGTGTTTATGATGGAACAAGAATTGTAGGGTTTGGGAACTTGTAAGGCAAGAATTAAAGTTGATGTTTACCTTGGGAATCTCCTAACATGAAGAAAAGAAACAGTTACTTATGCCTTCATGACTTAATTTCGGGTATTCAACAACACTATCTTAATGTTTGGGCAGATGATTTGGCCTCAATGCTGTCAGTTCATCCCAAACTTACCTTTCTATTAACATTTATCTGATTTTATATCTAGAAAAAAAAATGTGTTCCAAATTTTATCCATTTTGCTCCAATTTACAAACATTCCCCCTGTTTACATGATCAGATGAAGTCTGAATTTTTGACAAAAGGATGTATGCCTAAGAAATCAGAAAACAAAACAACTTTCCATCTCAAATTATAACATGAACTTTTATGGCAAGTTAGTGTAATCAAGAGAGCAAGTAAAATTAAATAAGTAAGTCAAATAATACCTGTACTAAATTCCAGAACTTAAATTACTAAGTGTAGAAAATATAAGATTTGTCTGACAACTCTGACCTTGACTTATTTGAAGACTTCACCATGAATCGCCTTAATGTGGACAGAACAATTCTATCTTGGACTCTTCTTACAAACCACTCCAAAGGAGACCTAGTCTCCAGCACTGGCAAAGGTGAAAACAGATGCCTGGAAGCACTCCAACTGATTTACATAGCCAGAAAACAAATGCAATAATCAATATGAATGTATCAAATATGCAATCGAATAAATAGTGTTGATTTTGCTTGCCAGTAGTATCATTTTAAGAGACGAAAGACATACTATCATGTAATTAACCACTTTTATATATCCATGTATGTAAATACTACACTTCTCGATCTTCATGTTCTTTCTATTTAAGATTCTTAGACTTCCATCAACAGTATGATGACATATACAAGAGAAAAAGGAATTTGGGAAAACAATGCACCAAGATGCCTTTATTTTTTTGGTTGGGGGGACTGGGAGGAGGGACTGGTGCACTTCCTTTGATTTGATCAAAAAGAACATGGTTGGAAGCTAAGACATTCCACAAGATATTAAAGAAAAGGGTCCAACAACAAAATCTGGTACAAAGATGGCATTAGTAAAAGCAAGAAAGTAAACTAAAAGAAAATGAAGAAGCAGTAAAAGTGGATTGACTTTTGATTTGATAAAAAAGAATATATGGTTGAGTACTAAGACAATCTAAAACCTATCAAAGAAAAATGATGCAACTACAAAATCTAGAAAAAAGATAGCATCAGTAAAAGCAAGAAAGGAAATTTAAAGAAGAACCAAAAATTGGAGGCAAGAGAAACATGGGAAGATAGAAAAGATAATGATGACGACTAATCTGGAATGAAGTAGAACATAAAAGTGATTCACAGAGAGAGACTCAAAACTCAGTCAAATAAGTCGTAGAACTACAAAAAGGGTATTTCATACTTATACAGAAGCACTTGCCAGAGTGAAGAAATTAAATTGATTGAAGTGATGATCTCCACAATCTTAAGCATCTCTGGACTAGAGAAACTGGGATACCAGGTAATAGAAGCTATGAAAGTCCCAATTTGAAGTAGTTTGCAATCAATGCATGACAATCACAAAACTAAACCTACATCTCAGCTCACTTAAGCATCATTATAAACTATACTTCATGAGATCCTCACCAAAAACCAAATCAACCCTTAGTCATATAATTATATCCACTGCAAAACAACCCTTAGCCATATTGTTTTCATCCACTGCTCATTCTCATAAATATTTGGAAGATGCTCTTCACCAAATTGGGCATCAATTAGGCGACTCAAATAGATATCCACTCATTCACTCATTACTAGAGATAATGATTCCCATAGTGAGAGAAATAAGCTACAACTTCAAGGCACTGTGTCATTATGGCAAGCAGGGTTGTTTAAACTGAAAGTGGCTCTAAAATCTTAAAATGCAAAGTATCTGCTCCCAAGGAAATCTAGGATAGAGGACAGTGTCCTGTTCTTTGCACTGGTCGTCCTTTTGAATTTGAAGGTCTATCTTTACTTTGATTTTGACGGACTAAGCTGCATAGCTCTCCTAAAGTGCAGCATACCAGGTTTTTATTTGATGAAATCCGTCTCCTAGGGGGACAGTGAACAACTTTGATGAATGTTCTCATAGTAAAAACAGCCATATCAGAATAGGAGGTATGATGTAGAGAACCCAATGAGAACTTAGTCTAAACACGCAGGTATGGGTTAGGTGATTGAGGTTGAGATATACGTTAGTTAGGAAGGCCTTGGTAGCTTTTTACTTTAGTGCTTCATGAATTATTTGATATCATCCGCAGGGGGAAAAGGAAAAAAACAAACCTATACTCCAATCACAAACCAAAATCTACTTCTGAACTTAAATAGTCTTCAATTTCATCACCATTTTAAAAAAGTAGAATTTCAGCAAGGATAGATTTAATACTCTAAATTTGAATAGCTACCATGATAAAAGTAAGTGGCTGCAAAATTCAACAATACTTTAACATGAGCCCCTGTGACACTTGATAGCATTCATAATAATGCTCTAGCAGCATTTAGACAATTTTGAAGATGTCCTTAGAAAAATTATCTAAACGGAATCGTTCAAATATTACATGAGATCCAACACTGAAGACCGGAATGAATACAACTAGACCCACCCCCCAAAAAAAAAAAGAAAAGAAAAGAAAAGAAAGAAAACCCCAGTCACTGCCAACAAAAAAGAAAAACATAGATACTGCATATTTGACCTATGCTGACCACTTATACTATTTTGAAATTTAACTCCAAGTATTCAACCCACGTTGGCAATATTTAGTGCGGCAGAAACTCTCATGTCAAGACAGAAAAAGATCATTCAAATTTCCATGCTGCATGCAGTTATGGTACAGCTATGCTACCAATGTGTTGAAGTTAAAAAACAAAAGGATAAATAACGAAAAAAACAAACCTGAAAGACTTTACGGTATCAATAATTTCACCTATGTATACATCATTGGGGAAAATCTGGAACATCAAGAAGAGCATTAACAATCGCTTAAGAGTAAATAAAATTGGTAATAAGTTAGTGAGAATATGACTCATCAATCCCAATAACATACTTAAAATAACATGGCTTTTGAATCAAAGATCAGCAAGGGAAAAACCCAAGGCATAAACAAACAAAACAAACAAGCTGAAGAGTAGGAGAGCGGATGCTAAGAGAAAACACAACAAAACATAAAAGTAGGCATCATATGAAACTTCAACAAATTTTTGTATATATATAACACTCAGCTTAGTTCTCACTAATGGGTATCTAGGATGGATAAATTGGGTACACACCCAACCTACACAAAGTGATTGCTCTAAGATTTGAACCCATAACCTCAAAGTTACTGGTTGGAATTTTAACAACTGAACCAGTTGCCTCCTGTCACGATATGAAACTTTAATACCTTAAATCCTCCAGTTTCCCAAGAGTAATAATTAAAGCTCCCTTGTTCTTTTTAATACAAACCACATTTAACCATTTTAGTGATGTCATGATAACATCTATAGATAATGAACGATGTCATTAAGCCAGCATGTGTTCAAACAAATCTCCAGTTAAAGAATTCATTTTCATGGTTAAGGTGATGTGCCCCAAAAGAGCTAGAAGATATTAACTTACAGAAATAAACTGTTTTGATTTTTTCTATTTGAATACACTATTAAGCAACAAAAGGAGGGCTTAGTGCCCCCCCACATCTTGACTTGACTTAAAAAAGCCTGGTCCTTGTGGTTATCAATTCCTGTGCACCAACCTCTGAGGCTGGTCCACTATGGATAAGCAATGGAAATTCGGAAAATCCTTTTTAAGTGTGACATGACTAACAGATATCCACTTCAATTTTATAAAATCCTTTTTAAGTTATAAAATTCACATCTTGAATGAGATTCATAAATACACAAAAAATTATTATGGAAAAGAAAAGGAAGAAGAAAAAAGGAGAAAATGATGATAATTTTGTGGACTACAAGACCAATGCGCCGCATACTTCGCATAAGCTATAAGTGGTGGTCATAAAAGTCCCAGCAACTGTACATGTCTCTGAGAATTAGAAAAAAAATCTCCTTGTCCTTTTTCTTTACTATGCTGAGGTGGCTTCTAGTGATAAACCCAAAATATTTAAATCATGACTCATTCAAATTCCCATTGATTGCCAATATGATTTCAACAGTTAAGAGTGCATTTTAAAATTTAACATCATACTAGAAAAACATGAAGGTGATAGGCCACATCATAAGGTTATCTTTCACAAGCAAAAGGGCCATACCTCCACATTCTTTAGCTCCATCGTTCCATCTACAACTTCAATTAACAGTTCATGATTCTGTTCCAAACGCTCAATTGTATCTTCTATTTTTTGTTGGCTCAACAAACCTTCTGGTTTTGTAACATATGTCCTCAAAGACAATCTAATGTGGTTTCCTTCAAATTCTATTACTTTAGACCTGTCAATGTATCCTCACTCTTTTCTACGGCCTCAAGCCTGAAAATATTACCAAACAAAAATGTCTCTAGCAACTGGAAAGTATACAAAGAATATAGATTCTAAAAAGCCCACCATGGAAAATGTACCTTCTGAAAATGCAGTCAAGGTCCTGCAATGACTTCAAAGTCGTTTTGTTCCTCTCAATCTGATGACTGAGTTCCAAAATCTTTATGATACAAAGATAACATCAGATGACTGCTTTTTCTAAGCCACAAAAGAGGACAGGAAAAGTAAATCATTTAACCAACTGGTTCAATAGTACAACTACAAACCATCAGGAGTAGCACTAGAGCTAGATATACAGCGTGTCATTACATCTCCACTAATTTTATTTGTTAATGCTTTAATCATTTTATTTTGCTGATTGCAGAGTCAACAATATAGTTAAATGGTAAACTTGATATTAGAGTTTAACAGAGAGAGGAAGAGAGAAGAGAAATTAAGAGCAATAATCTGTGTACAGCAGTGTTGCCCTACATCCTCTTATTTATAATAGAGAAACATGTAGGTAATTACAATATTACCCTAAACTCATTAACTATCACTAATACAAAAAAGAAAAACAAGAATTGGAGCACTCCCCCTCAAGCTAGAACATAAAAATAAAAAAGGTCCAATTTGGAACATGAACTACTGAAGGCAAATTGAGTTAAAGGCTTGGTAAAAATGTCACCAACGGATCACCAGACTTGATATGTAAAATGATAATCTTTTTTCGCATCAAGATATCTCATATGAAATGGTAATCCACCTCAATATGTTTTGTACGTTCATGAAATATTGGATTACTAGCAATAAAAATAGTTGTTTGGTTGTCACGATGCATCTTCATAGGGGAAGACATATAAATTCTCATATCACGGAGTGAAAAATGGGCTCATAATGTACAATAGCTAGAAGTAGATCTGGATCATATGTCGCTATGATTACCCAGCCTAGTCAGCGTCAAAAAAACCAGTAACAATTATGGATGATATATAATCTTTTTTTCCCCAAGCCCATTGCAAATACCGAAATATACGAAGATAGCCTGCCAATGAGGTTTACGACAAGTATGCATGAACTGACAACCACACTAACAGCATATGTAATATCTAGGACGTGTAACAATAAAATAAATCACCTTACCAACTAAACTCCTATAACGCCGTATACCTTCAAAAAAAATTTCACTCTCCAAATTTAACTTCATTATAGAATCCATGGGAGTATCAACATGAACGCACACCAAGAGTCCCAGGTTTATATAGTAAATCTAATACATATTTCCTTTAGCACAAACTGATACCCTAATTTGACCTAACAACTTCAATCCCTAAGAAATATTGAAGAAAACCTAAATTTTTAGTATGAAATTGTTTTCCCAAATGGATCTTGAAGTAGTCAATTCCATCTAAGTCATTACCACTAATGATAATGTCATCAACATAAACAATAACAATACTAACACCTATAGAAGACTGACGAATAAAAACTAAATGATCTGAAGTAAAATGCTATAAGCCAAATTGAAGTACCACTATACTGAACGCATTAAACCAAGCATGTATTAACTATTTCAAGTCATACAGTGCTTTCTTTAAATAGCACACTAATTATTCATGACTAGGAACAACATAACCTAGGATTCATATATAACTCCTCTTGTTTCTTTATGTTCAATTGATACAAAGGTTAGTCACAACTGACCACAACATAAATAAGAACTCTAACACCATATGTCTGGTTTTAGCATTGGAACCAAGCGTGCCTTCAAAATGCTCAAATGAACCATCAAGATGATATTTCATAGCTAAATGGTAAACTTAGGATTTAACTGAGAGAGGAGATATTGAGAGGAATAATTTGTGTATAGTTGTATTACCCAACACTCTTTTATTTATAGTAGAGAAACATTTAGGTAGTTACAAAATTATGCTAAACTCACAAATTATGACTAATATAGAAAAAAAGAACTTTAACAAATATATTGTAAGTCCATAGGGGACTGCAAGACATTTTTCAAATTATTAGGGCCTCATAACATTGACGAGTTCAAACTTCAAAGTTTTATTCTGAGAATAGATTAAGTTCATGTTTTCTGAGGTCATTAATCAAACTGAAAGCAAACAAATATACACTTGAAGATAGAATGAACAAAACCTTGAACTTCGAGTCTTCATGTGCATGTGACAAATTCATTTGATCTTCTCCATCCTTTTTTGCTTTTTCAAGACCCTAGAATATGAAATATGAAGAATTAATTTTTTTTGTTTCATTCAAAGTTAGCAAATCAGCTTCAAATAGGCCACATAACATGATAAAAAATATATATATTGAATAAACACAGAATGTAGAACTACAGCTTGGAAGAGATTGCATTGAGAATTTGAGATAATAAAAGCCTTAAACATCACAAAAATGCTGATAAGTACATTGCCATGGTGAAAATGTAGAACTGGGTGTTCTGCCATCAACAAAAGAGACGAGCAAAACTTGAATGCTTTGCAAATAAAAAGAGATTGTACTAGTGGTACAAAGAAACAAACAGAATACCTATTAAATTAGGGGAAGATCAAGTTGTTACTAACACATCCAGGGAGATAACTTTAATGATTAGAATATGAATTTCATAACTGGCAATGAGATGAATGAACACATAAACAAACATTTTGAGAAAATCATAAAATTTAATGAATAAGAAGGAGGGTTAACCACAAATTTGAAATTCTCTACCTATTGTGCTTAGGTTGAATTGTCCTCAGAGAATGAAAATATTCCAAATGATCTACAAATGATTATTGAATCATCTCTCGAAGGTTCCTTATATACAAAATCTTTCAAAGTTAGCTGAAATGACAATAAATCTTCCTCTAGCACAATATTACATACATAATTTACTCATCATTTTCAGTTATCAATTTTGACTGCAAGATTTTATGTCTGACAAAATGTTCTAAGGAGGCAATTGCCACCTTTTTCCATCTAAATGGTATACATGTTTGATACAACATAAATTCTGTTTAAAAATCTGAAAATAAAGAACTCCATTTAGTATTTTTTTTCTAATCCAAAACCAAGCCCAATGCTATTCCACAACAAAAACTGCAATATTCCAGCATAAATAAATGACTCGTATATCTTCAGACAATTTTTTCGCATTCCACTGAATCAGTTTGTATGAATCTAGTTATAGCATGTACTTGAAAAATTCTTGGTACTAACTAGTAACTAAACAGTATGTTTTCCGGGTTTCTCAGTTAGTACACTATCTACAGATGATATTCTAATAGCACGTCTAATTCCCCTCGAAACAGAATTTTTCCTTCACCCTCTGCTTTAATTGACTAAACCCCAAAAAGATTGACTTGACAAATCAAGCACTAAATTGGTGAACTATTCTAGAATATAGAAATGCCGGAAACGAAGAAGGCCAATTTGCTCTTGAACAGAGTTGGTCTGCTGATAAGAAAATGGAGTTAGATTCGGCCAAGAATAACCTTGAAAAACTTCTGTTTTCTGAAGAAAGATTCTGGAAGCAAAAATCAAGAGTGCAATATGGCTCCGGGAGGGTTTTCTTAATAGTAGCTCACAATCACGTCTCTTCATGCCCAATGTTACCTGGATTGTTGATCGCTTTGGCACGTGGTACAGATACGGGAATATAGTACGACACTTTCTTAGGTACGTGATACGATGGGGGTAAGCTTAGCCGGTATAGTATTTTGGGTCGCAATTCGTTTTAGAACTCTTATATAGATCGTTTTCATTACTGTATAACATTATATATTACAAAACATCCATAAACACCAAGTCAGTTACTATTTATCTTATAATTGTGCTTGATTTTCTATTATCTAAAACAATATATAATTCTAAATCTATATACATATAATCAATTAATATATATTTTATATTTGTGCTACATGCTCTAAAGAGAATTGATTTAGGGTTAGTATTACAATTTTGGATCGTCCATTTTGGTGATCTAAATCACGAATCCACTCCGTTTGGGATCAATGTATCCAGATCGTGGGTCGTCAAGAGTTGAGTGAATTGTGTTAACCATGTTCATGCCTCTCTATTACTCCATATTTTCAATTCAGAATTGGATATTGCTCAGAAAAAAAAAAAAAAAGCGACACTATTATACCTGCTCCCTGACAACCTAAATTTACCACCTCTATGGTGCAATCAACTTCCCATATCATAAATTTGTGTCTAGCATTTGTTGCAGGTGGAATTGATCCATCAAATATATCTTCTTCAGTATCTACACATTCCAGCTTGCACTTAAGGTAAATCAACTTGGTTGGTACATTCAACAAACTCTCAGCAAACCATACCACCAATATTGCAACATCAGAAATTTTGTCACTTACTAAGGAATGGCTCATATTATTTGTTTGATTCAAATTATTTGTGACTCACACGAACACGGAGGAACAGCTGAATTGAGTAATTTCTTTCTTCACAATAACAATACGACGACTTGAAGTGTACCAGTGACATTTCAAGTATATATATCATCTATGAGGAAGTCTATTTAACATAAGGAGAAAGTTACATTATAACTGACTACCGGGAGAGGGGATGTTATATGAATTTTCAATCATTGTAAGCTTACATCACAGTTCCACTTTAAGTTTCTATCCTTTTGCCTTGATTATGGATGCATTAACTAAACACATTCAGGAAAAGGTCGCATGGTGTATATTATTCGTTAATAGAGTACAACTTTAGAATAAAACTGAGAGTCTGTAGAGAAATTGTAGAATCAAAATGATTCAAGATAAGCACAAATTAAACTAAAATGGAATGGAATGTCATTTTAGTAAAACTCTCAAATAGAGGAAGTAATAACTGAAAATAAGAGATATCAAAGATTAACACCTTCGGGATTTGGGATCAATAAGGGAAAAAGAGATTAGAGATGATGGTAATCATAAATTAAAGCATGATGCATTAAATGGATGAATGCATTTGGTGTATCCCACTATGATTTGGCAATGGATTTGAGTGAGTGATTCAAAGACTTCTTTTTCACTTTATACCTTTTAAGTTGAAAAGTAATTTTGCATGACAGTCATTAGACCAGCAATATTTTAAGGTGCAGTGTTGGTCAGTAAACAGATAACACGCTACAAAAACATAAGGACATGGCAAACCAAAAGGAGATGAAAGTAGAAGTGAATACACTGATGCAACAAAATAAGTAGCACTAATAAAAGATAAATTAGGAGAGAATCAACTCAGGCAACTTAAACAAATTTATAAAAGACACATTCTTATACCAATGAGGAATAGTGATGTATTGACTATTGATGGTAATGATGCGTAGAAGTAGACCGATATAAACTTTGAATGAGATAATTAAAAAAAATGTGGTTAAACAGAAAATTGGCCCTATAGAGCATAAGGGCAGAATGGAATTGATGTAGCCAATCCCCAAATAGTTGGGACAAGGCTTTGTTAATATGAGTTGAATTTAGTACAAGGAGGTCTTACATAGATCTTTCCCCAGCTTTGTATAAGGAGTATGAATAGGAGCCTACAATTTAATATGGCTTAGGATGCCCTCATGCATTGGCTTTCAAATTCTCAACTCTCAATTACTTCCTTGGATGACAGTGCACCATCATCCCAAACTTTTCTTATGATAGATAATACCCACTGCAAACATCAAAGACAGTATTTCAAGCTTTTTCAACCAAGATCACACTCTAGGGGATTATCTCGAAGTTTTTTCAATCCTTGAAAGTGCTCTTTGTCTGATATCAAGAGTATTACTCTCTTTAGGGATATTATCCAACCGCAACAACAAGATCAACTTTCTCCAGTTTTTTCACCATCATTTTGTGTGCTTCTTATATAGGTCGTGATTATTATCAACCTTAACAAAACAACCCTGTAGTGCAAAGCAACACAAGATGCATGCTCACACTTCCTGCATAATAACATTGTGACAACAAGAATCTATCCCACAAGATCTGCATAATGAGTATCATTTTTTACTTGCCCTTTTTGGTTTGTATTTCTTCCTCCCAATGTACTACTGATCTTGATTCTGGGCAAGTCCTGAATGCAGTACAAGCATTTCACATGGCCATAATGTACTTTTGAAAGCTGCAAATGACATTATTACCACCATATTCATTACTAACTTGCTAGTAAAGAGCAACTACAAGTGGTCATCCAATGTGAATAATTCTCAAATACTTGTGGTAACATTTCACAGGCATTTTGAGCCAATTTATCTTCACCATGCCATTAGAAACTCAGTTAACTTCTAAACTGCACTTTGGGAGGACAGTGGAGCTCGTTGTGGACTAAACTATTCATGCACTATTATGTACATGTTTCTCATGGTTTAACTTCAAGTGTTTAATTGATGACAATATCCTTTTTGGTTCTTAAACCACCTGATCCACATCACTTTAAAAACCAAAAAGGTAATTCCAAACCAATCATTTCCTTGACCTTGCAAACACAAAATTAGACGGGTAAAGATACTTACATAGCTGAGTTTAGGACCTACAGCAACAGGACCCATAACTATTCCCTTCTACCTTATTTAGTTTATACGATTAGAGCAACTATACTCTTCCCCTAACAAACGTCACGAATAGTCACAATGACTAATTCTGGCCATCCTGATGAAGCAGTAAAGCTAACACGCAATTGCAAACAACAGAATTGCATAAAAAATGAAGTCATAAAGTACAAATTTTCACCACCTCGCCAACTATATACATTAATAAACTTAGCAATTTCTTCAACTAATATAAATTCTCAAAAGATACTTGCCAATTGAGAAGTAACCTGTGCTGTAATAAAATCCAAATGACAATTCAATCCTTCGAGATCACTCCCCAAACGGTTGGAGTCTGAAAACAAAACCCATTACATCAAAAACTGCACATAATGCAAACGCGTGCATTTGAGATATTCATAAAAACAACCAAATTGGTATTATGACAATATTATCACCTTCCACATATCTCCTCGAAAGATCCTGAATTTCATCTGAGATGGTAGCATTTTCAGTCTCCACTGAGCTAAGCTCCCCTTTTAAATGCTCCAAATATTCATCTAAAATAATCAAACAAACTTATTCAAAACAAATTAGCTCACACAAAGACTAAACACCCAATGCAAAAGGCACACATATACACACACAAAATACCCAATCCAAAACACAGAACACCCACACACAGAAAAAGCACCCAATTCAAAACACATACAAACACACACACAAAGAGTACACCATATTCAAAACACAGGGACAAAGCACCCAACTCAAAAGACAAACACACACAAGCAAAATGCCAAATTCAAAGCAAACACACAATACACACAGGCAAAACACATGATTCAAAACACAAAGAGTATACCATATTCAAAACACCACAAACACAGACACAAAGCACCCAACTCAAAAAGACACATACACACAAACAGAGATGGTACCAAGTTATGGTCAAGGGGGGCTATGGCCCCCTAAACTTGTCAAGAACCATTTATATATATTGGCAAATCTACCACATATCCCTTTTTTTTTTTTTACCCAAATAACCTTAGAAATCATGCAACCTTCTTTTTTGTTGTCTTATCTTATATGTTGATGGCAGCCTTCATACCTTTACTCTACTCTCTCTCTCTCCACCCCTATCGTCTGAAGTGTCTTCTCCATTCACATTTTACTATTATGTCCTTGTTCAGTATAATTCCAAGAAAGGCGGCCGAAATGGATTTAACATGTCACCCACTCGGGCCTTTTTTTTTTCCAATGGGATGCATTTTGAATTCCTATAATCTTAGGATAGCTTTACGATATTTTAAAAAATCGACATTGCATCAAAAATTATTATTTTTAAAAGTTAAGTTACATTTTTAAAAGATAAAGTTATAACTGCTTGAGGTAATTCTAATCGATCACCAAATGTTGTGATCAATTATGAATCACTTCAATCAATAGTTACTTCTTATTTGCGAGTCATAACTTAACCTTCAAAGATAATAACTTGACTTTTAAAAATTGTAACTTTCATGATCAATCACAACATTTCGTAATCGATCATGCCCTTTTGGATTTGTAAGTTGCACCCCACAAAAGTTGATCTTAAAATATTATAACTTTCAGTATGGTACCTTTTTTTGGTACTATAGTTTTCCCATAATTTAATTGCATGACATTCTTTGGCAGGATTTTTTTTTTTTTTTTTTTACAAAAACTAAAACAAACTACTTGATATGTTATCAAATTTGAACACGTCAAAAGTAAGAGAGATTTTTTACTGAGTCTAGCAAGATAGTTAAGAGCAATTGTATTAGAATTTTAGGATTGGGTATTTCGGTTGGAATTATTCAAGTTTGTACTTTCTCCTAATATTTTCGAATGTAAATTGGTTATTAAGATCATGTTGCGTACATGTAGACAGAATTTTGTTGATTCAAATAAATTTTGGGTTCTCTGATTTAATCCATCATCTTATTATAAAAAATTCCCAGCAGCAATAAAACAATGTTAAACCCCCTTGGGACAATTTCTGGTTCCCCCATGCACATAAACAAAAATTATGTCAAAAAAAAAAACAATTTCATCCAATAATGCAATACACGGAAAGAAATAGGGAAGAAAATATTACCTAAATCTTCAACTGTTAGTGAGTCGACATCAGAAACCTCCGACAGAAGTTGAGTTATTTTCCTCTGTTTATATTCAGAAATCAAAAACAAATATAGTCCCAAAAAAGGTTAATATATTAAGTAAACGAGGTGAAACTATAACAGAGAAACGATAGGTATAGATTCAATACCATAGTTAAGTACATAAAATTCTATTTACCTGAAGCTCAAGAGCACAATCCTTCATTAATTCCTCAGAATCCGAAGGGCTGGTTTCAGAAACTTCATCGCAACTTCTATGAACATCTCTCAGTTCATTGATTCGACTGTATGTTAAAACATAAATAGAATTAAGTACACAAACACCTGTATATGTAGCATGAGAGAGAGAGAGAGAGGGCTTCTTGAAGGACCTTCGCAGGGTGTTAAGATCCAGGGACTGTTGTGAAGAAGAAAGGGTTACAGTTTTGTCGCCCATTTGCTAATTCTTGTATTTTCAGAAACTAACCATTTGCTCTTTCATTTTGTCTCGCTTTCTTTTCTTTTAATTTGTTTTGGGATCTCTCTCTCACTCTCTCTCTCTCTCTCTCCCCTCGAGTGTTTTGAATTCCCGCCTTTTTCCAACACCTGCAGGCTGCAGCTGAAGTAAGTTCTAGTCCACCCTGTTCTAGTTTGGATTAAGTTTTTTTTAGATATATTTTTTCTTTAATTTTCTACTTGACTAATTATTTATCAAGTGGGATTTAATGTATATAAATAAGCCTTTTACTCATTAATAATTAATAATTCATAAAAAATAAAATTGAATAAAAAGTATATTATAGGAATTTGCATCTAGTTTCCGAACAAAAAAATTGCACATTAGATGAAAAATTTTGTAGTTTATGAGAAAATAGACACCATGCCAATTGTGTGCAGTATATCTCACTAAATTTTATAATCATTAATAATTTTTATATTCAATAATTATTATGTGGGATTAGTGCAGTTCACTTATGTTACTTATTTGTTTATTATTAATCGATGACATTATGTAACGGTAATGATATATATAACTGATACATTCAATATTTACTCGTGAGTAGGGATGTCAATGGACCGAAGTGGGGGCAGGGGTATAGTCTTCAACTCTTCATCCCCATACCTACTTAAAAAAATTTTATTCATTCCCGGTCCATTCCCGTTAATGAGTATAATTTTCATCTTCATTCCCGTCCGCATGTAAATTTTTAATCCCCGTCCCTGTCCCCTATACCCGCCCAAGTCTAAGTCCAAGTTCAAGTCAATATAATCTAAAATTCTAAATAAATTTAACATTTTAAATAATCCAACAACATTCTAAATAATCTAACACAACATATATGTAACATAACATATTCTAACACAACACAAACAACATATATCCAAAAAATTACTTGAATTTGATCAAATTCAACATAACACAAACAACATAATGGGACAGCTTTTCTATTTTGTAGCTTCACACCTATAATTTAATAAATAAAATAAAACATAAAAAACTATAATAATTGCATAAAAATATTTTGTATTTACTAATAAAATTGAATGGTTGAAATTGAAAAATTATTAACTCAATCATCTCTTAACACCATCGGTGGTGGTAGAATCTACTTCTTCAACATCATTTTCCTATATCATTAAAAGAAAAATAAATAAATTATTCCAAAGAGAAATTTTCAACTAAAACGATATACCTCATCATCAATATCAAGATCCTCCAATAATGTGTAGCTCTTCAGGCCCGTCAAAGTAGATGAACCTAAAAAAAATAAAAATAATGCATTAGTCATACTTTACCCCCAAAAAAAATATGATGCACATACAAATAATATTTCATTACCTCGTTCTTCAGCACATAACCAACTTTGAGAGCACATTAAAGTCTCTACTGTAGTTGGAAGAAGTCTATTGCAATGTGGACTGATCACCCTCTCACTTATACTAAAAGTAGATTCTGAGACAACGGTAGAAACAGGAATAACAAAAAGATCTTTAGCAATCATTTGAAGCAGGGGATTCTTGAGACCACTTGTCTTCTAAAAAGATAGTATATCAAAATCTGAAGTTATTGGCATAATATCATCTTCTCAGTAACAATCCAACTCATACCTCCCATGTGTTTTTGTTATGTCTCTTGTATTGTATAAATTGAACAAAATCAGAGAGATCATCAATTAATGGGCATTTGGAATCAATATCTGATTTAAGAGAGGGAGAAGAAGGTTGTGGTTCATAATCACTTCCCTGCCTCACTTCATATTCGCCTACCAATTCTAAGCAAAACTCTTTAATCCTCTTCACTTCATTTAAAACTTCCACGCTGCCATACATTTTCTCATAATAATACTTCAAAATTCTCAACTTATATCGTGGATCTAAAATAGTGGCTATTCCCACAACACCATGAATCACACTCTAATAATTGTCAATTCTCCATTGTTTTGAATCACAAGAAATAAAAGTTTGAAGAGCAAATTAAACTTACAGAGATAGGAGAATCGATGTTCTCGAGCGAAGAATAAGTGGAAGAAAGACGTAGATGTTGGTAGCAACACTTTCTATCTCTCAAATCTCAATTGCTCTCTCCATTTATTTTTTGCTTGGATCGATGCTCTCTCCATTTATTATTCTCAAAATTCGAACATGCAACATGGTCGATTGACTGCAACATTCAACGAACAAATATGAGTACAACGATCAATGGTTGAGAAAGAGAGATGACTCGATGGTGGAGGCGGGCGCCTGATATAATAAGTTAGGGCTTAGCCATCCAAAAGGAAGGCTTTAAGATGTGTATTGACATGAAGCTTAATAACCAATTAAAAAATGAAAAGAAAAAAGCTAAATATGAAATGAGTAATTTCTATGAATAATATAGTCTCCCTTCAGTAGCACCATCCCACAGAAAAACCAAAAACCACAAGTCTTACAACCGAAGTAAAAGTCACTACAAAAATAGGAAAAAGACTTTTAGTAAACCCTCATACTATGAGGAATCCAGCAAAAAACCCAAAAAATCTTATAAGCGTAAAACTTATAAGAAAAAATCCGAGAAAAAAGATAGTAAAAAAGATATAATATACAATTGTGGCAAAAAAGGTCATAAAAGCCCAGAATGTCCAGTTAAAAAACAAGTTAAAAGATTGAATTTAACCCAACAAGATGAAGAGAAAATTCTCACCATTTTTAGGTTAAACAATTTTTCTCATAGTGAAGAAAGTTTAGATGACTCAAGCAGTTCTGAAATTTCTTCAAATTATCAGTCAACATCTAGTAACCCTAATGAACCGAAGGTCAAACTAGGTTGTAGTTGCAATAAAATAGTTAGGGTTATCACCAAATAAAATGAGGAAGAACATGTTCTCATTGAGTTAATTAGTAAAATAGAAGACCCAAATTTAAAGGTCAAATATATCAAAAATTTAAGAGATTTGTTTGTCACAAAAGACACAAAACAATCTTTTAATCAAAAACAGTTAATTAGTATTAACACCACAATGGAAAGATTCAGTAAGGAGAAAAATAAAGAAATCACCTTACAAGATCTCCGAAGTGAAGTAAATAAAATTAAATCTGAAATAAAAGAATTAAAAGCTCAAGATAAAAAACTTGCAGAAGCTTTAAGTCTTTTAACAACAGATAGTCTTGAAGACACAAAGGACTTTAATCCTGAAAAACAACCACTAGTTGAATAACAATCTAAGACAGAATCTTAGGATGGAGCAGAGTTACAGGGGATACCCATAACCTCCACCTATCTAGTGAACATTTGGGTGTAACGAGCCTGCTATCTCACGATGGATGTTCCCAGGCTAATGATGACTATATGATCAATCTAGTTAATAAAATTAATTTTCAAAAATGGCATTCTAAAGTAAAAATCATAATTGATAATGATTTTGAATTAGAAACCATTGCCTTAATTGACACTGGTGCAGACGTAAACTGCATCCAGGAAGGCATTATTCCAACTAAGTATTATAAAAAAACTATTAAAAGACTTAGTTCAGCAAATGATAGTAAAATGACTGTTAAATACAAACTACCAAGTGTGCATATCTGTCAACATAATGTATGTTTTAAAATATCATTTATCCTAGTACAAGATATGACTGATGATGTTATCCTTGGTTTACCTTTTGTATACTTATTGTATCATTTTACAATAGATACAAATGGTGTAACCACGAAACTACTTGGTCAATCAGTAACATTCAAATTTGTCACCAAACCAGAAGTTAAAAAATTAAGACAACTTAAAAATCATTCAATCTCTAAGTATCTTAATTTAATTAATCAGAAAACTAAGTAAGTGAAATTTTTCAAAGAAGAAATTAATCACAAAAGAATTCAAGAACAGCTAACTGTTCCAATCTTAATTGAAAGGATTAATCAATTCAAAGAAAAACTAGAAGCATAAGTATGTTTTAACCATCCTACAGCTTTCTGGCATAGGAAGAAACATATGGTAAAACTTCCTTATATTAAAGGATTTAAGGAACAGAATATTCCAACTAAATCCAGACCTATCCAAATGAACCATGAAGTAATGAAAATCTGCAAAAAAAAGAGATTTCTGAATTACTCAAAAATGGTATCATTAGGAAGAGTAAATCTCCTTGGTCATGCCCAACTTTCTATGTCATCAAAAATGCAGGATTAGAAAGAGGCGTATCAAGACTAGTAATTAATTATAAACCCTTAAATACTGTATTGGAATGGATCAGGTACCCAATTCCAAACAAACAAGATTTAATTAAAAGACTTAGTAACTCAGTAATCTTTTCAAAATTTGATTTGAAGAATGGTTACTGGTAAATTCAAATCTATCCAGAAGATAAATATAAAACTGTATTTACAAAATCCTTTGGTCATTATGAATGGAATGTAATGCCCTTTGGATTGAATAATGCACCTAGTGAATTTCAAAATATAATGAATGAAATTTTTAATTTCATTAATCATTTTTCTATAGTCTATATAGATAATATTATCATTTTCTCCAGATCTATAGAAGAACACTGGAAGCACCTTTATGATTTTTTAGAAATTGTCAAACACAATGGTTTAGTCATCTCTACTAGTAAAATCAAGTTGTTCTAAACCTCCATAAGGTTCCTAGGGTATAACATTCAACAATCCACTATTATTCCCATCAGTCGTTCTATGCAATTTGCAAATAAGGTCCTTGATGAGATCATTGATAAAACCCAACTTCAAAGGTTTTTAGGTTCCCTAAACTATGTTTCTGATTTTTATCAAGATCTTAGGAAAACTGTCAAGCCTTTGTATGACAGACTCAAAGGAAATTCTTGTCCTTGGACATCTGTTCACACATCCATAGTCCAACAAGTCAAGAAGTTTATTAAAACTTTGCCTTGTCTTGGAATTCCTTCGGTTGATTCCTTTAAAATCATCCAAACTGATGCCTACGACATTGGCTACGGTGGTATCTTA